CAGATGAACCCTGGAGTCGGATACACTCTTGGAGGAGGATTTCACTGCACCACTTTTGACAACATCGCTCAAATCTTCAGAGAAGGACTACGTCCCGGAGGAGGAGGCGACCGCATCAATACGTTCTTCGTGCCATTCGCGCCATGGGACGTGCGAAGTCAGACGGTGCTGAGATTCAGGAAGATTGATCAAACTGACCTTGTCTATATCTACATCACGTACGATTCCATCGCCAAGTTCTCCCCTCGATTATCAGCAGACGGACACATTTTGGTCCAAGAAACAATTCCATTCGAATCATTCGATGCAGTTTGGTATTACGATTGGAAGGAAAAGGACTACTACCGTCTCATGATCACAAAGGGAAGAGATCAACTTGTACTTTCCGTGCAAGGAGCAAGGAGGGTGGCCACCATTGAACGATTTGACAAACTCATTGGGAACATTGTGCCTGATGAATCATCACCCGATCTGAACGAACTTCGAAAACTTGTCGATATCAAGACCGGTCACTTCAGTCATGCTCACAGATTGTTCCCTGGACATCCGGATTGGAATGATGCAATATCATTGTTGGCAGTCACTCATCATCCCAGCAAGGAGGACCATCGACTATGCCCCGCATGTCTGATGGAGACCCCTGCACCACTATCGATTTGTGTGATGTGCAAAGGATTTTTGGTGAGTCATGGATGGAGGAAGCGAATCAAGATCACCGTGGCTACAGTACCAAGTGCCGAATCGCATCATCGAGAAGAAGATCTCAAAGACCATGTCAAGAAAGCATGGGAGGAGGTGAAGATCGATTTGACAGGTGAAGGTGACGATGACGAGCTGATGCAAGATGATGATGATGTCACCATGAAGAGTCCAGAACAAGAACCTCAACCAGAAGAAGGAGATGATGATCAAGCCTCGAAGAAGGGCGACATCAACGATGAGAAAAGAGACTTCAGAGAACAAGATGAGGTCGACAAATTTCTCAATCAAGAAGGAAAACCGACCGACGAAAATGACGATGAAGAAATAGCGGTTGATGAAATCAACATTGAAGAGTATGAGGCTGGAGAAGCTCGTGATGCAGTAATTGAGTACCCCAAGTGGATGAAGAGGGTTGAGTTTGGATCAAAGGTCCTACCAATCGAGCCTTGCACAATTGGAGATGCTCAGCCGGAGCTCATCAAAATCCTCCTGTTGCAGATTGGATTACATATCGTCAGGATCTACAGACTATTCCAACGGAACTTCTGTGGAGACATCGAGACGGCATGGAAACACTTTCAACAGAACCAGAAATTCAGGATGGACCTGGACTCAAGAACGCCTTACCTAGGCGAGGATGAAAATGGTGAACTCATTGAACCAACTGCACAACAGATGAAAGAGCTCTACAAAGAGATCGGCCGACCAAAACAAAAGGACGACATCGGAGAAGAGGGATTCGTCAATGCATACTATGGGGCAGTGGTACTCAAACGACTTCTCATATATACCCTTGAATGTGGCTACACGTATGATGACTTGCAAAATATCTTCTATGACGAGGAGATGGAGAAGCTGTCGAAACGTGACACAACAATGGATGAGATGAGAAAGACCACAGCGGCCCGCGAAGCCCTTGACCGACAAGACGTCATGGTCAGAAGAATTATCGCAGGTGCATACAGAGTGAATGCCGTTTATTTCTTCAGGAACGTCGACTTTCAAGACACAATCACACTGAACCCAGTTGACATTGTGTGTGCTCTTCGTCCCGCACTTCGAAGAATATCACTTTTACACCTGATCCTTCAAAATGGCCGACAATTACCACGACCTCTACTCCAGAAGCTATATGATGCAATCGATGACTACAACCACATCAAACAACGGGACGATCAACGACCAAGATGGGGCATCCACATGTCAGACGCCCACATACTTGCGATTGCTGATACCCCAGTTCCTGCCGATCGTGAACGTGCTAACCCGGTCGCTGGCAAATCGAAAGCAGCCCCGAAGGCAGCACCAGCATTAGGCAGAGTGTCAAAAGCGAAAGCATCATCATCAGCAACATGGAGAACCGTCGAAGCCGCTCCTCCGCCAAAACAAGCTCCAGTAACCCCACCGCAGAAAGGTGGAAAAGACCAAGGAAAAGGTGGAAGATCTTATTCACACCGTGGTGGAGACTGGAACCAACAGGGATACTATGGATGGGGATATAGATGATAAATCGATATGACCTCTGCATAGGTCCTGATTGAACCTGGCGAAACGAGGATGCAATCATTGCTCGAGATTTACCTCAAATTCATTTCGAATGATTTCTGAGAGGACTCTGAGCCGGCTAATTTAGAACCACATTTTTATTTGGAACATCATTGCACGAGACGCTGAGTTTCTACAGCGGTCTACATCTCAACCGACGAAGGAACGGGAAGGTAAACTTCTAGTTCCATAGTCATTTTTGTGTTTCGATTTTTAATTCACATGCTTGAGTGAGATTCCATGCTGGCTACGCCACATCGGATGAACCTCAATGCCGGACACCGACTACGTCGTGTCAGCATGCACGTGAACAGAACCTTTATCCTTTGGTAGAGATCGTAGCAAGCCGCCATGTAGATTTGAAGTTCTGAACGGACTTTAGCTCTCCATAATTCAACAAATGAACAGCTGCAGATTTAGTGGATCAATTCGAGGGACACTCCTTTGCGCGTGGCCGACAAAGTTGGCCATGCGTGGGGGGTGCGAATAGAGTGTAGGCTACGGACCATTGTACACTATCACATAATTCAACACTCAAAGATCCACAGCCAAAGGGTACGTCTAATCGCCCTTTTGGCTCAAGACCCACTGCAGGAACCGGAATAAAGAATCGCCATGCTGAAGCTGCTACCCGTGTGACGTCACCACCGAAACACCCACTGAAGATCAAGTACTAGAACATAATCGGGGAGACAACCTCCGATTCACAATTCTATACAAAATCCATAGAGATTCCATAGAGATTCTATACAAAATCCATAGAGATTCCATAGAGATTCTATACAAAATCCATAGAGATTCCATAGAGATTCTATACAAAATCGATAGAGATTCCATAGAGATTCTATACAAAATCCATAGAGATTCCATAGAGATTCTCTACAAAATCCATAGAGATTCCATAGAGATTCTATACAAAATCCATAGAGATTCCATAGAGATTCTATACAAAATCCATAGAGATTCCATAGAGATTCTATACAAAATCCATAGAGATTCCATAGAGATTCTATACAAAATCTATAGAGATTCCATAGAGATTCTATACAAAATCTATAGAGATTCCATAGAGATTCTATACAAAATCTATAGAGATTCCATAGAGATTCTATACAAAATCTATAGAGATTCCATAGAGATTCTATACAAAATCCATACAGATTCCATAGAGATTCTATACAAAATCTATAGAGATTCCATAGGGATTCTATACAAAATCCATAGAGATTCCATAGAGATTCTATACAAAATCTATAGAGATTCCATAGAGATTCTATACAAAATCTATAGAGATTCCATAGAGATCCTATACAAAATCTATAGAGATTCCATAGAGATTCTATACAAAATCTATAGAGATTCCATAGAGATTCTATACAAAATCTATAGAGATTCCATAGAGATTCTATACAAAATCCATAGAGATTCCATAGAGATTCTATACAAAATCCATAGAGATTCCATAGAGATTCTATACAAAATCTATAGAGATTCCATAGAGATTCTATACAAAATCCATAGAGATTCCATAGAGATTCTATACAAAATCCATAGAGATTCCATAGAGATTCTATACAAAATCCATAGAGATTCCATACTCCATTGGTTCTATACAAGTTGCAGAGTGTTTTTGCCAAGAGACCACAGGTCCATGGCAGGTTTGGGTCGCCAGGAGGAAAGAAAAAAGTGGGTGGCCATCATTTCTGGAGCGGTGACCTTTGCAGTGCAGACCTCAGAGGTCCCATTTGGACATGATCAAACTCAGATTTCAAGAAACACAGGTGGTTATTCACCTCTATATATTGATCATGAATCATTATCATAATCCATGGGAAAATTGAAAAATAGCTAATCAGATACTAATCAGATGATCATCATCATAGTCATAATCATATATTTTTTCAGATGATCATAATTGGAAATGCCCATGAAAACCAACGGTTTTAGATTGTCCATGATTCTCCAAGAGCCACGAGACGTGCTGAGTTGGGTGGTAGCTATGTGCTGCTGAACATCTTCATGGACAGCACGGATTGGTCCGGCTTCGCTGGGGAGAAGACCCTGTCCGCAGAGGACGCTACTGGCGCTACTGGCCATGGCTGTCATTGGCTGTTGAAGTGTGCTGTTGGCTGATGGCTACTGGCTTTTTCATTGGAAAAGAGGTCCTTTTTCTTCATTCACTCTTTGGTCAGGCCGATTTAACATATTTGGTGGTTCATTTTTTTCCCGGATGACTCCAGGGAGGTTCACTTGGCCTCGCAGGATTTGAAGCTTCTGGGACAATGACACCGAACTGGTGGACCCAAGAATGGGCCGCACCATGCACCAACTGCAAGAAATCCCATGAAATCCCCTGCGGATTCCTGCAATCATCGCCTCCGCCTGGGCTTTTCCGGCGCTGCGCTGACACTGCCTGCGTTGGCAAATTTTCGCGCAGCCGTCGCATGTCTCACATAGGAACAGAGTGAACCTCGCCAGCCTCCGGGAAAATTCTCATCACAGCCCATTTTGCAGGTTGGTCCAACAATGTCCAACAAAATATCCAGCTTGTGAGCATGTTCTTTGCTTGAGGGCATGCGGTTCCTGGTGTTTGTATGTGAGATAGGTTGATAGGTTTATAACCTTTAAAGCAATCATAACTAATTATACACAATGAGATACAATTACATATATGAGTACATATGCACACACATCTGTTCTTCAGTTTTCCCAATATGTTTTCCATTTGGGACTGGCTCCAGCTGTTGTTTCGGATTTGGGCCATCGCTGCGTCGTCATGGCCGTCCCTTCATCTTTGCGACTTCTGGGCCGCCCCTCCACGCTGGAGAACTCCGACATTTGCGGATTGTATGTGCACAGTGGATGGAACGAGGCACCGGATTTCACAAAGATAGATGAACATGATATGAACATTATATGAACATGTGTTTTTCACGTGCCTCGGATATGTTTGTTGTGGTTGGCCAAAATCTTGATCCATCCTGACAGCTTTGCAGTCTGTTTGATGCACTTTGTACAGAATGTAGAACCGGGATTGATCATGATTTATCAACATTATGAACCACGTACTGCGCCAATTGGAATGCACATCCAAGTACCGACATCCTTGAATTGGGACCATTTGCCGGAAGGCCATCTGCTAAAATATGTTAAAATCACCTAAAATCTATGGTTTCCCATAGATATTCCACCCAACCCATTGATGTTTTGCCAAGGGTCGCGCCACGTATCTCCAAGTGGGCACCAACACTGCCCTCTACTTCCGCAACGGCACTTGGGTGGTGGATCGCTATGGGGTGCCTTGGCTACAACTGGGAAGTCGCGTTGAACATTCCCCAAGAATCTCCACCTAACTCATCCCAAATCATCCATCATCAAAATACTCATCATCCATAATTCATCCTAGTCATACCATTTTCACAACCTTTTTCATGGCATTTCCATCTTTTCATAACCATTTTCATACCATTTCCATGGGATTTCCATGGCATTTCCATGTTTCGCCCCATTTCTTGGGTGGTTTTCCAGCCAAGGTCCGTGACAGCGACCTGGCTGCGGCCTGGGCCAAGGACCACCGGCAGCCGACGCCGCTGGGCCTGGCCTGGTCCGTGTGGAAGTCCGGCGCCAAGGACTTCGTGGCGGATCAAAATCTCCAGGCGCCTTCGGCACAAAAAAACGGGTGGGATGGGATGATGATGGATGATTGATGGATGGGATAAGCCATGATTTATAGTAAGTTGATGAGTTGATGATGGATGATAGTTGATGATGGATGGGATGATGATGATTGGATGGGCAGTTATAGTATGTTATAGTAAGTAAGCAATAGTTACTGAACGGGTGGGATGATGGATGATGTGAGACTCACAAGTGTTTTATTGGATGATGATTGATGGATGTGTCACGTTGATGGGAGGGTTGATGGTATGATGGTCACCAACCCAAATATGATTCATAGTAACATGAGTAATTAAGCTATGATGATTAACCAAGGGTTGATGTTGATGGGTTGATGGGATGATGTTGATGGCTTGATGGGACCAATCTATTGGTAGATCTCATCGTGAAACTATGTTTATTGAGTTCATTGGTGATTAACCAATGGTAACCATGAGATTGGTAATTGATAGTTACGGTTGACCGTTGGTCAATCACCAGTAAACATAGAAACTATAGCTGTATCTAGTAATCATCCATGGTTAACCAGTTGGTAACTATCCATTAATGAATGATCAGTGGATGATTATTGGAAGATATTGGACCATGGGATGATGGATGATGGGACGATGGGTTGAAGATCCAGTGATTAGTTGGGGGATGGATTCATGGGATTGATATCCAGTTGTGAGTGGTGGCCTTTGGTTGCTGCAATGTGGATTGACCTCGATAGGTGAATGGAGTGTGATCAATGCCTCAGGAAACATCCATGGTTTCAATAGGCACTATCATGGAATCCCCACAGAGGAGATGATTTCAGATTGCAGTAGCCATGATGGTCCATGATTGCTCATAGTGTCAATGGCTACTTTGATCTTGGATGTAGGATGATGTGATGATGTATCAGTGGATCGAGTGAGTCACTTTTTTGACAGGATGCAAATGGATTAGTAGATCACTTCTCAAATTCTCAATCCTGATGTTTTGAGGTTTGTCGTTTGCATCATTTGCATCATTGCTGCATCATATGAAACCTACTCGTGTCGGATCTTCCATGGTCTTCAGTTCTCATTTACCCCTGGGCGCTTGAGGCCTTGGACGCGCCTGATGTGACCTTTATCAGCCGACGAGCCGACATCAGCGGGGAGTACACCTTTGCAGGTGCCCAGATGCTGTGCACAAGATGATGTGGAGATTCTTCGATTCTTCAGATCACTGGAAGATCATTGGATTCTCAAACCATCCAGCATGATGAAAACATGTCATTGCTTACGAAGATCCGCACCTCATCAGAAACAACCAAAGACAATTTTCATGTTGCAACTGTATGCGCATGGATCCAAATTGGGGTACCAATCAGACCCCCGCAATTTCTCCTTTCATTATCTTTCCCAATCATCTTGCCATCTTATTTTCTCAATTCTTCTCATCTTTCCATGGTTTTCCCCATGTTTTCCCTCAATTTCACCCAGTTTCAGGTGTCAGTGAAGGCTATCCCTACTACTCCAACGGTGACATGTTGATCCGCTACCACCACGAGGGGCGCAAGTGGCTGGTGGCCGGGACGGAGCACAAGGGGAACAACTGCATCGCCTATGCGGAAGCCCAAGAGACGATGCATCCGGGCTATGGATTCCTGAGACCTGGCAGGATGAGATTTTGGGGATATTCATGAGAAAAAAAACCAAACAAACGGAGAATGTGTGGGGAAAATATGGTCGTTGCTGATTGATGAGTTGGCACTGTTGGCACCATTTTTTGTTGACAAAACCAAGTGCGGAGGAAAGAGAGTGGAGTTTGCATGGAGTGTTTTGCAACTCAGATTCAATCCGAAGAACTTCCGATCATGAGACAAAAGATTTGAGCACAACATGTTTCTTTTGGAATTCTTTTTGGAATTATTTTCCGTCTCAAGAGTTTGTTGAGGAAGTGGCATGTGTGGAATGCCTCCACGGGGCAATGGAATGCGGATGCCAATTGTCACTGCCTTGCTGCGCCCAGCGTCATTCATGTGCTTGGTCGACATCCTCAGGCCCTGTTTCAGAACTCGTTTTCACCCTGAGGGTTGAAGATAGACCAGTGACATCAAGTTGAAGAAACCCTTTCATTAGCTACTGTAAAGCAAGGTATTTGATCATCAAACAATTGCCTTCAACGATGTATCTCAAAGCCTTGAAAGTCACTCAACATACCATCACTTTGTGGGTATATAACTTTATATAATTTTATAACTCTATATAACTGCATGTATATATATATATCAATATAACAATATATGTATATAATATATTATAACTTACATGAACATCATGAACCATCCAACCCTGGTTGATTTCATCCTATCTTCCCATCCCTTTCTCCGGAGGCCTGCAACGCCCGGATCTGCGGTGCCTACCACCTGGTGGGCGTCCGAGAGGGTCGTCCCCTGTATCTGCTGCCGGGGAAGAAGGCCGTGATTCGCTACGCGCCCGAGTCCGACAGGCCATCCATGGGGCCATTTTGTTGGGGATCTTCAAAGGTGATCAACAAGTTGGTAAAGTTGAAATATGACCAATTTGAAGTTTCAACAAATCTATACTGATCTATGTTTGGTAGATGTTCATTTGAAGTTTCAAGCGTTCATGTTGTCCACAGAGTATTTTTTTCTTCATTTGTCCTTGCTAACTTGCTAAACATGAGATAAAACATGATAAACATCGACATAGAAATTGATTCTGCAGAGATTTTCGACGTATTTGCCACATTTTTCCACAGCAGGTGGCTGATCGACTTCGACGCCCTGGCGGAGCCGGGGATCTTGGGTCGCATTTTGCAATGGGCCTTCAACGGCTCGGAGGCCTCCGATGCGTGTTCCGCCTACGCGGATGCCCGGGGCTCATCGCATCCGGGGCACGTGGATTTGGAGTGGCACATCTGGGAGAATTCTCAGAATCGAGCTGTGTTAGATCCATGTGTTCGTGCCACTTCGGCACCTTGGAAACTACATGTGAGTGGTCGTGGACAAACACATGAGAATGGTGATATCTGTGGAGAATATTTGTTGGTTGGGTTACACAAAGGTTGGCCAGCCTATCAAAAACCTGGAGTCAGCATGGCCATTCGCCGCGAAAAGAGTCGTTGGGTCATTGACCGTGAAGGCTTGAGAGATTCCTTGACCTGTGTGGCCTATGCCAGCGCCACTCCCGGCTTCGAACATCCCGGTGATGGTGGCAGTCGACGATGGCATGTCTACGAGAGCTGCTCAGGATGCCATGCCTTGGACCTGGCGATCCAAATCCGAGTGGATGACCCAGGAGAGACATCGGGAGGAGAACCGAATGCCAAGAGGCAAAGGATGGAGTGTCCCGTGACCACTAGCCACGCTCATTTTGGAGCTTGAGTTGATGTGAAAATAGGCATTCAGATGAGCGGTTTGATGTATGGTAATTCAGAGATTTGCAATGGCCGTGTTGAAGACATCATGGCAATTGGACCAAATGGAAATGCAATGTACAGCCAAATGTGGACTTTGCCGCTCAATGCACACAATTAAGGTGTTTGCAGGGAGAGATGCAATTGGGAGACAAAAAGAGTCTGAAACAAGGTGCGATCACATGCAAGTGATATTGAACTGCTTGAGGTATCCAGAACACAGTGGTGGTGGACTGGGTTTTCTTTCACTTTTGCCTCTTTGATGGTTGGCTGACAGCCAGTTGGTGCAAAGTACCACCTAAACTACGTGACACTGCACAAGTACACAAACGATCCGGAATCCAGTTACATCTCAACTTGACTTTGTTCCAGATCCAGTTCATTTCATACAGACTTCAGCTCTTCTTCTCTATTATTATCCTTCATTTCAATCATTTTATTTATTGGTTAACACGGGTTCCAGCTGCTGCCATGGCCATATCCTCATGATGCGCAGCATAGCTTGGCGCCAGATGGGCCTTGCCTCCCCGGTGGCAGGTGTCAAGCTGCATAAGCTGCGGCGAAACATCTGCATTTCCAGGTGGGAAGAGAGTGGATGTTGAAAATCCACTGTCTGGTACGGCTGGTCGTAACCACAAATCAGTAGTTTGATATGTTGATGATATGGCAACAGTTGTGATACATGGGAATACGTGGAATACTATAGACTTGTTTGTATTGTTTGTGTATTGTTTGGCATATCAACTATCATATCAACTGATGGCAATCTGTTCAACTGTTTGTATCTGAGATCCCAGAGAACTGATCAACTGAGGACGCTGCGAGCAGAACAGGACGCCGCTGCCGATTTGGATCACAGATTGCAATTTGGAGGCAGTTCGAACATGTTCGAACTATGTAACAAGCTGTGAGTTGATGCGACCCAGATTTCTCATCAAGTCGAATCAAGTGTCAATCTTGATAATCTTGTCATAAATCGCATTGGTTGTATTTGCTTGTGGTATTGATTTTAGTTTTTGCTGAACCACTCACAGTCTTTTTAGATCTTGGATGCGACCAGGAGAAGTTCTTACCTGGGCGAGTGCACGATGTGATTAACCCCAGGCAGGATTGTTTTCTGAAAGCACATTTTTTTCGACGGTCAGATGCCTATCATTACAAAACCATATGAAACCAAAGATCATCAGATTAAAGTGCAGCTGAAACCCAAGAGATCATCAACACATGTTCATAGTTGGTCAAAATTTGTCCCCAATCATATTTTCCCCAATCTTTTTTCCATCTCATCATGTTTCTCCCATCATTTTCCCATCATGTTCATCATCATTTTCCCCCCTCATGGTCGAGCTTCCCCTCATTTTTCCCAACATTTTTTGTTTGGATCAGGGAAAATCATGAGTTTCCCATGGTTTTCCCCTGATTTTTCCCAGATTTTCCCCAGCAAAACCCCCCAGGTTGATCCCCATGGACGGCACCCCTGGCTGGGTCTCGGACGCCGCGCAGCTGCTGGAGCCCTCAGAGCGGCGGAAGCTGAACGCGCTCTGCGAGCAGATGCGGCCGCACAACGTGGAGGACCACGGAGATGTCACCATGTCCGGGTGGAGATGGCTGGGTTTGTGCCGAAAAAAGGTAGAAATTCCCAGAAATCATGGTATTGTTAAAATGGGTTTAAACCCCAAAAAGTATGGCAAGAATGGGTATAACCATGGTAAGAACATGTAAGATGATGAGCTTTATAAGTTGGAATATAAGCTCTAGAACTATAGTAACATTCATAGAAACTTTGGTAAGGTCATGCAAATGCCAATGAAGATGCAAGTTGGTGCGGCCACAAAAACTTGTAAAAGTGACAAATGGCGTGGGGCCGCTGCGGGCGGCGTGACCTCGTTGTTGATTTGTTGTGTTATTTTCATCGAAAACCATCAAACCTCTTTCATCCAAACACGAAATCGATGCGGACATTTTTCGCTGAAGAAGTTTCACGTTTCAGTGATCCAACGTGCAGTTTTCAAACATCCAAGACACATTGGCAATAAACAAGAGTCAACTGGATGATGTTGGATCATACTGATCAATTACCATTGGATCATTGATACTTTGTAGATTTCTGTATCACATAGTCCATTCATCAACTTGGATAGTCCATCCATTTTCTAGGCCATGGAAACCATGGAACATCAAATGATAGGAATTTGTGGATTCCACAGGAATTTGGATGGATACATGGCATATAAATGATAGGAAATTGGATGAATTTCTATTAAATTACTGATAATTATAGGACTTTTATAGGAATTTTGGATGTTGTTGGATGATTTCCAGCTGATTTCATCATTTTTTCCAGGCCACAGTGGTGGTTTTGGACGCCCTGAGCAGCGACGTGACGTCGCCCAGCGGCTTCTGCGCGGCGCTGATGAACTTCTGGGGCGTGGGACATCCACGACTGCACACGGGGATGCGCCTGGTTTGCATTAGGAATCAATCATAGATTATATAATCGTGAAAATTATGTGATTCAAATATACAAATGATGTTATAATATATATTTATATATAGTTTGAATTGGCTGACTCGCCCAACCGCAGCCCCAAGCAGCACCTCTGCTTTCACACCACTATGGCTCACAAGTCCACGCCACTGCCCACCCCTTGATGGACATGCAGCAGCATGATATGAAATGGGTCCTGGGCATGTCCTACCGGCACCTGACAGGAGATGGATAAACTGAGGATGTTTCACACACCCCGTACTTCAAATATTGTTTTTCCTGTCCAAAGTGCTGGTAGTGAAGCATGACCCCGCGTACCAGGCCAAAAGTCCTTCTCATTCCATGTTTCTCCAGATTCAAATCTGGCAAAAGTGGTCCTCTCCACCCCAAGATTGCGGATGTCAACTGGGCATCCAGGAACCCCTATAGGAGAAAAACGTTTCCAACGAGGAACATGGTGAGTTCGGACAACCTGGCCATGTTTGTTTAATTCCCAGGAATCTTCCAAAACTGACGTATGATTTGCTACACTGGGTCCGGAGTCTGAGGTGGCCTCTTTCGCCCACTTGGCTCTTTGCTTTTTGTCGGAACGCTCCTGAAGAACCCTGTTCTCATCAAACAACGAATATCTACCACTTTTGAGGCATTCCCGCAACACTGATGAGTCCATACTTTTGGTCAAGCAATCGGCCAATTGAGCATGGGACGTCACCCATCGAATGGCACAGTTGGCTTTGAGCCGTTCTCGAATTAAGAGGCATTCTATGGTGGTTCGATGTTCTTCGCATTGGGGAATGGCTGTACGGGTAAGGAGATCGTATGCGCTCTTGCAATCCGTGACCAATGCAGCTCTCCTAGCATTCTCCAACACAGCTTCGGGGTTACCCCATTCAATAGTTGGATTATTTACCCATTCCCACATTAATCGGACCCATAGTAGCCTATCTACTGTACCACTGAGTGCAATTGCTTCTGCACCAAGGGTGCTCCGAGTGACCCGATGGATCTTTTTGCTGATCCACGCCACCGGGGCCATCACAGATTTCTTATTTTCCAAAAGCTCAGGAGTCGTTGCAAAAATCAGGCCTCCCTGGTGGGCAAACTTTTCCTTCCCTGAAAGAAACGAGGCATCTGCAAAGGCACAGTATGTGAGCTGGTCCGGTGCAATTGGAACGGTCATCAACGAGACTTTGTTGTTCTTGGCTTCATACAAAACTTTGTTTGCACTGACCATGTCACCCACAGTGGCCCGAGGAACACAAGACTGGATCTCTCCAACTTTTGCACACAAATCCGGTCTTGTATGTACAGCAGCATATTGAAGGGCGCCTACCAGACTTCTTAACTGGGTTGTCTCATGTTCAGTAAGTCTACTCAGAGGCTGGTTCCTTCTACCCTTGGGAATCTCAATGGGGGCTATCTTCTCGATATAGTCAATCTGATCATACTCAATGCTCTTATCATCCCATTGCTTGTACTTAATCCCCGTAAAGGTAAAGCACCCCTTTTCGAAACTGCCAAAGTTGAATTTTTGTCGGATTCTCTCCAAGGATTCGAGGAAGACTTTGTCACCTCCACCAATCCCATCATCAACGTGGATACCCAGTGTCCCATGGATCTGCAAGTGACCTTTCTCATTCTTTGATGCCAGGGTAAAACAGCAAGGATCAAGGGGGCACTGTCGATATCCCTCACTGATTAGGGTGTCCCTAAATTTGCAAAACCAAAGATAGGGTGCATCTACTCGGCCATACGCACCCCCAACTAGTTCACATTGATCGGTCTCTTGCATGCCAAGTGACTCTTGAAGTTCTGGTGGAGGGTAAATGCCCAACAATCTACCATCCCCTTCCCCATGCAAGAATGCCGTCGATATGTCAAAAGACACAAGATCCCACTTGTAGCTGCTTACCTGCTGTACGATGGTTTGTCTGGCATCCTTGCTCAGGGTCGGTGAGTCATTTTTAATGACTCCAACTCCAGGATCCTCAAACCCAACAACAACCAGCCTGGCTTTTCCTTTTTGGCCATTGCTGACATCAGCTGGATTGTCGGACGGACCTGCTGGTTTCCAGGACAAAATCCATCGGCATCGCATGATTGCTGATTCAGGGATTTTCCCTTTCGAGACTTTGCGCACTGTGGAGTGTTTCAGCCAAGCCCCAATTTCTTTGTGCTTGGCAACAGCCATCCTAAACTGATCCTCACTTTTCAGATTGCTCAGTTTGACTTCTACCTTTCTTTTCTTGGAGTCGGAAACTAACAGCACGCTCTCATCCGCAGAGTTTGAACAAAACATCCTGACTTCCTGTTTTTGTTCAAGAGGAATTGACATTTCCCAAACATCAAAACTTTGTGGGGGAGGCTTCCCAAACTCTACATCATCCCCAAACAAAATTGGCTCCCCTTCCCCAGCTACATTCTCGGGTATTTCACTACTTGACATTTCCCCTTCAGATTCAAAAGGCGTGTCAGGAACTGGAACTTCATGTGGCTCACATGGTTTTTCTAAATCAATTTCTCCCGGTTCGGTCTCTTCAGGGGATTTGATGGATGTCTCTACTTCAGGTTCAAGTTCGGAGGGACTATACTCACCATCATCCTCATTTTCGGGGATCCCATCATTACTCAAATCAATAAACACCCCACCCCTTAAGTTCTGGGAGAACCGACCTG